AAAACGACATCAAAATCACGAAAAATTTCAAGTCGCCGAATTTGATTCCCCCAAAATGGTGAACATGACAAAAACCCGCTTCGCAAAGACTTACGGGAAGACCTTCCAATTCTCCTTGGGACTGGACTACTAATAGGGAGTTTAAGATACGGAGACTCCGGACTACGGCTGGACGAGCGTTGTACTTTGTAGCACTGGGTTGAGTCGTACAAATATAGAACGTTAAGATTGCACGACAGACAGTAGACTACGAGAGAAGAGGCGGAGAGGGAAACAACACGCAAAGATTTTCTTGTTTTCGTCACCGTTCACAATAAAAATGCAAGTCAGTTTTGCATTGTGATCTTATCTTTAGAACAATGAACAAATTCTTCCATACTTGAAGAGAGCAATTACGTCGGGTGAAATTGGTAACCAAAGTTTTGGTTACACAGGTTTTACTTTTTTCGCCCATGAATACTTATGTCAAATATTAAAGAAATAGGCAGAAATAGTAACAGCTCATTTATTAGATTTAGAAGATGGACTTCTCCGACTACTGATCTGATGTAGTTTGAAGTATTGAAATGCCGAGTTTCGATTGTCTCGAAGATGTTTACATCATATTCATTCAGCAAATGCGATACAAAAACTCGCATAAACAAAGGTTACACAAGTAGAAAGACACACTAATCAGTTCGAACAAACATTGAAACTTTTCAGGTGCGAAGAGAAAGTAAATTACCTGCATGATTTCTCTTCTCCTCGGCCGTCAATCTGAATTCTGCGTATAAACAGCTATGCTTATTTAAATATGAGCTTAGCTAGATAAAACTGTAGTCACAACGGTAATTAAAAGCGTAAATCTGAGCAGAAATTAGACACAACTTACATATTTCGCTTCCCTCTCACTTAAAGCAAGTGAATTGAAAACGGTTTTACGAAAAGACGAGATTCTTGAATTACCGAGACGGCAAAATACGAGCAAAATGTTCTCCGTAGTCCCGACTATGCGAAACAGCTCAACAACTCACTGTAGCCGCAGGACTACGCGGGGAGAATGAACAGTCACGTTGTTTTGATCATGCGCAGGACCATGTTTAAACGAAGTCGCCGTATCTTAAACTCCCTAATAATTCACCTTCTTAGCGACAGATTCCACGTGTAGTTTCACGTGACTTTTGATGGCCTTGTTGTGAACAAACCCCGAAAGTTCGGACATCCGTTCTCTTTCACATACTGTACTTGTACCAGCGACGAGTCGCTATTTGAAGTTTTCGTTAACTAATATATTTTCCTTCCCTTTCGCTGTTTGAAAATCGAATAGTGTAGGGTTCAGATCAGGAGTGACTTTAACCACCACGAGTATGGTAAAACTACAAGAAAAATTAAATATTCGCCGGAACATGGAGTTTCAACAAGCGCGTGTCTCCTCTACAGTTGAAAGAATGGTTTTGCCTGGTGGATCTTAACTTGGAAAAAATGAAACTGATGATGCAAACACACAATGTGCTTACATTTTCGTCTCGACCGCCCTTTATACACTTAACTATACGCTTATGCTTATCTGGCCTGAAGTACACTGCGTCCGTTTCTTTCTACAGTATTAAATACAAAGCCACTACATGTTCACAGAAGCCTGCACTTTTTTGCCACAGATACGTGAACAGCCTCTTGATTCAACTTAGCAGTTAGTAAGTTATCAACATAACCGTCATCAAAAGTGTCGAGTGCCTGTTTGCCGTAATGTACAGTTGAGAATATAATATCAGACAACCGATGGGACGGTCGTTATAGCGAAAATGGATCGGAAATTAATACCGTGTGAACATGAATTTTGAAATGTACATTATGTATGTATTATGAAATTTGCCTACTTCACCGGTTTTTGTCTTTCAAAGTTTAGTTCCGATGTTAAAACCATTTCAGCTGCTGAGGCGGGAATTTCCGCTACAAGCCCTCCTCTTTCCTGCAGTTCTGCCCTGCTCTTGGCCTTAACGTCGCTCTTGTTCTTCTGCTTAGAGATTTTTGAACCTCAAACTATTCGAGTTTAAAACAGCAAAAGGAAAATAAAATGTATAAATTAACGCGAACTTGAAATAGCGACTCGTAGTTCGCACAAGTACAGTATGTGGCAGAGAACGGATGTCCGAACTTTCGGGGTTTGTTTACAACAACAGAGAGTTTTAGATCCGAGTTTACCGGGAACCTCTAACCGCGGTTTGCAGGTACCCGTTTGCGGTTCAACGTTCAAACATAATTCGATTTAGATTGGCGGTGGATTAAATCACGGCCGCCATTTTGAATCAGCAGCCATGAATGGCACTTGTTTTCAAGATCCAATAGGATTTGTAAAATTTAGCATTTCGCCCGAATTTGTGCCTCTGTTAATGGATAAAGAGTTGCTCCACAAGTTTTGTGTATCATTACGTGGGATGAAACGCGAATTATACGCTAAATGCTTTCAGGTACATGACATACGTGAAAACCTACCTCCCCACGTTGAAAACGCTCGTCGTAAACCTCAAACGTGACGCGAAAGACTTGTCTTGAGGTCTTGAGGTTCGCGGTAAACTCGGATCTAAAACTCTCTAATGGTCATGAAAAGTCACCTGAAACTACACCTGAAATCTGACACTCAGAAGCTGGATTTGTCTGACGATAACCCCCAGGGGACCGCGGGTCCAGTAATTGATCCACAAAGTTGAAGGCCGCGGTCAAAACTCTTCGATTTGTGGCAGGCAACTTCCCGACATTTTTCTAGCGTTCTCGTCCTCAGACTCCTCACGGTCAGTGAATCCGGGGTTGCGTTCGGAGGAGGCTAGTTTTCGCTCAAACCTGGTTTTTATAAACCCTGAAAAACCCTATCTTAAATTACCCAAAATTGGGTCTGTATTCGACGAGAGTCGGGTTTTTAGCACATAGTTCAGCTTCTCTACTGGCTGTTGTTATTTGCGTCCAGGGGATGATCATCACATACTGCACCACCAACTTGTTTTCTTCACTTTGGTAGTCAGCCCTTTATTATGGATAATCACCTCTTCTCTGAGCTGTTCTTAGAGAGAATGTCGACCAAAATTAGCAAGCATTAATTTTTAAAAAAAACGTATTTTATTACGTATTCGATAACATTTCATCATAGAGTGAGATGTGCCCTACAATATTTCCCTTGTTTTAAGGTTATTTAAAGTAAAAGCAACTGCCGAATTAGAGAAAATCGTTCACTGTCATTTGATTGGGTCATTTGCATCAGGGTCTGCTAAGATTATGGACTCCCATTAGCAGAGACAACCTTGATAAAGGAGTGATGGAACAATCATCGTTTTTCATTAAAAGTGATGTTACACGAGACCATTCGCAACGACGATTTTTTGCGCAACACAACGTTGCAACATTGTTGCGACATTGTTTCGAATAGTTACAACGCTGTTCCAACATTGCAACTGTGTGTTGCGCTAAGAATCGTCGTTGCGAATCGTCCAGTGTAACATCACCTCAAGGCCCCGTTTATATGAAGAAAACCTGACTTGGGTGAAGGGTCACCCTCCCCTCCCAGCCAAGTCAACTTAAGCGAGCGTTTTATAAATATATGAGAAAAAAGGTGACCACTTTGCCCGAGTCAACAGCGCCCACGCATGCTCTGAGTGCCTAAACAGCGCCCAGGCATGCTCTGGCCTTGACCGAGTTAACCCCGATGGGCAAGTAAAAGGGTTTCTATGGACAAAAGTTGGCTCGACAAGAGGGTGACCTTATCATCACAAAAGGGTGACCCGGCCTTTAAAGCCAAGCCAACAAGTTCGTGTTTCTCATGCAAGGAAATGCATGAAAAGCTGGCTCGCCCAGCGAAAATAGGGTAGGCGAATACCCTGCTAGGCAGGACAACTTTTCTCAATATAAATCGGCCTTAAAACTGTTGTGCTCGGCCTAGCCTGCGTAGCAAACGTTTCGGCGTGAGTTCGTCGAGAACTTCGGGACTAGAGCAAAAAAAAATGAATGACCGGGGAGAGGGAGGGGAAAGAAGGAAACGCTTGCCCGCAAATCCCACGATTTTGAAAAACTGCGTTCGCCAACGAACGCAGCTTCTGATTGGTGCAGTGCTGGTAGTGTTGATTACTTGGCACTCAAAACATCAATCAAACCAGGTATGTGCTTTGTTTACGTGCGTCACAGATCTGGTCTCATCAGATTCGTGATCGCAGATTACAAAATGCTTTGGACTGATATTTATTTGAATCGTGTTTGGGCGAAGGTTTATGAGATCAGAGTATTCAAGGTATAATTGGAGATCGAGTAGGGAAGGCCAATTTCAATATTCTCGTAATGACGGGGTGAGGATCAGACTGGAAAAATGGACTGTTTGTTGGAGATAACATCAACGTAAATTAGAACATCGGTACTCGACACTAGCTAAAGCCGCCATGGACAAGCGATTTGTCAGCCTTTTGAAATGAAAAGATTCTTTTTGTTTATTGGAAATCTAGCGGTATGTATTGTAGAGAACTTTTCGACACGGGCTGAAGAGCAGCCGCTCTGCAAAACTTATGGCCGGTGGAGTAATTGTTCCGGACAAAAAAGTCAAATCATTTTTGACAGTTCGACAAGGTTTCAGACGAGATAAAGCCACACAATAAAAAACAAGAAATTCCGCAGCAATCGCTCAGAGTTTCAACCTTCTTTTGTCGTAAACCTTTTTTATTACAGTTTTTGCAATTGCCTGGAACGTGTTTTATTAGGGAACAAAGTAATTTTACAAATCTGGTAATCCAGGGGTAATCTTTTCGTTATAACCGTACTTCTATTTTGACGAGCTGTCAATTTACAAATGAACCGAACCGTGAAATATCAAGGGGCGTTTTCCAGAATCGTGGGGTTTGCGGGCAAGCGTTTCCTCTTCTCCCCTCCCCCTCCCCCTTCCACCTTTTTTTTTTTGCTCCCGCTCTAACTTTTGCGCAATGACTCGATTGGAAACGCTTGCTACACAGGCTATGTTCGGCCCATCTCAACCAATTACCATGTATAGTTTACACGGGTACATACTGCAAATCTTTTGCCTTGTCAAAATGAATTGAGTCATCAATTCTGGTCTTTTTCTCAACCTCTGACGCCAATTCTCTATCTCGCTTTTTACGCAACTCATCGAGGTAACTGTTTTCCGTTTTAATCATGTTATCGCAAAAATATTTTAAACTTGAATTCAAATTATTCCTGCTGGAATAACCCTTCACAAATTTTTTTCCCCAAACCCTCTGCATTTTAGTTCCATAATTCGTAAAACACATATTTTCAAGCTTCAATATCCTTTGACGGAAAGCAGACAGGTCTTCGTAAAACCCTAAACCTTCCATTTCTACTTTTCTCCAAAATGTTGCATTGAAATAATTGAATAACAAAACGTCTGCCTTATTCCACCGTTTTATGTTCTCCTGAATTCTGTTACTTAGATAAGTAGCTTTTTCCTTGTCTAGTCGTTCGTTGACCTTGACGTTCAAAATATCATCTATTTCCCAACACAAGAGCCGCTTCAACAATACTAATGATTCGTCAAAGTAATCCATAATCATAACCAAATCAAACTCGCTGTTTAAAAAGTTAATATAATTGTTAATAGCTGTAAAGTTTTGAAAATATCTCAAGCTTAAACCTAAATCAAACATCATTGGGTTTCTTACCGATAAACTTTTGACGACAAATTTGAATTTACCAGAAGTGTAAAAATACGGTCTTCGTAAGAATTTTTCCAGTGAAACGACGGGATCATTTCCTAGGCCAAACTTTTTTCCCAGTTCGTAATAGTTGAAGGTAGACTCAAAATTATCCACCGGATTTCTAAGAATTGTGACGTACTTGCTAGTATCTGGAGGAAATAGCCAGTTCAACGGTTTCTTGTTAAATCTTGTATGGCTGCATAAAATGTTGGGCTGTCTGTGAAATGGAAGGGTGTTAAATGTGGTAAATCTTTGTGGCCAGTTAAGATCACTTGCCCCAAGGACAAATGTAAGATTCTTCCTGTCTCCGTAGCGAAAGAGAATGTTGGCAACAGTGCTGGAACCAGTTTTGTGCGTCTTAAGGAACATGATGTGATCAGAAGGAAGACATCTTGACGTTAAATGGAGGTCATTCTTATGCCTGTAGAAATTATTGATAAGAAATAGACGAACAACAGATATTCTAGTACAAAGATGCTCTCCATTTCATTAATCAATTATTAATTAATTGATTGTAATAGGACTTTAAGTCTTACCATCCATATGTAATCAAGCTGGTATTTTCAAATGGATCTAATTACTCTCTCAATTCAATTGTACCTCACTCTGACAGGCCCGGCGTCCACACGTACCCGGGGATATTTTTGAAAAAAAGAGGTTTTTCTGTTTGAGGGTTCGTCGAGACATAGATCGCGTTAAGGGAAACCAAAAAAGCAGGTTCTCAAACATAAAGATTTTTACAACATCCATGTAAATGCGTAAAAAAAATTGTTTTCTAATACGTTGATGTCAGATTACACAGCGCACACTCTGTAAGGGACCCTATCGTATTTTCACCGTTTTTACGTTTTCGGGCGGATCGGGCAAAACGAGTTGGGAACGTTACGTATGGATGCGTACTCAGATATCCGGATACGCGTGTGAAAGAGGCTTCAGGTCCCGTCTACACGAATCGGGATGTTTTTGAAGCCGCATATTTTTTTTTTAAACGAATCGGCATTTCGTCCACACGAAACCAGTGAATCTGCTCACTGAAACCGCATCTTTTTTAAATTGCTCTCCAGAGTTGTTTAAGGCCCTGGCCATACGAATCACAGTAGAAATTTGCGGTTTCAAAAATGTTCGTATTCGTTTTAACGGGGTCTCAGTCTAATAGCCCATGTTCGATATATTAAAATTATAACATGTATCCGAGGCTTTCTGGTCATTTTTCTATATTTGTTCTCTTTTCTGCTGAAGTCTCTTCTGGGAATTGGGAGACAATAGAGTTCTGAAAAGTTCGCAAATTTGACCCCAAGGCCTAGGAGTCATGTTAGAACTTTAATATCATGAACGTGGGCTATTTTCACTACTTACAAACAAAACATCAACTCTGCATGTGCACACTCTTGGGAAATTTCCCCAAGATGACGTCATTACACTACCACGACGTCCAACTTCCGTTTTATAGAGGACGTGAAAACACCTAAACAATTTTATTTTATTCTTTTTTTCTTCTTTTCCTGAACTTAGATGCAGTCCTTAAATTATCTCCAACAATGAAACACTGTTTCGACGAATCGCGGGTAATGTTAGAACTTGCTCAATCTGTCAATGAAAGTAGAATCTCTGTCCTTAAGTTTTTTTAGGAAGTAAAGACGAGCCTGAAGCCCTGTTTTAAAATTTTATGGGACAATAACCGCGCCGGAAGGAAAAACAATCCTTCAGATCAATATTCTTTAATGAATTCTAACTCTCTAACACAAAAGGCAGAAGAAAATCATGGAAGTAATGTTTTGCCTATTATGTGTGCAAGCCGCGTGGCACTCGTCGAAAGCGAAACAAAGTGGAAAGTTGAAAAGAACATTGTTTACCTTACTTTAGTGGGATTCATCCAACAGAGATGCGTCAAATCCATATGGAATAGGTACACAGAAAATAAAGTGGCTAGTGACAAAAGACAAAGAATGCCTACTAATTTGCCGCGACTGGAGACCATCTTTCTTGGCATTCTCCGTTGTTCCTGCTCTCAACCAAAGCCAGTCACACTGCTGAAAAAACATGCAGAGTTCCCTGAATGGTGGATAACATAGTGGTTACGATCCCCCGAGAAGGTATAAGGAGACAATTACCGGGCGCGTAAATATGTGCTATAACCTAAAGTCAACGCTTTACCGTTTTGAATAGAACTTTAATTTTCCAGTGCAGAAGCTGTTTCCGCTGACGCCCTTGCTGAACCACAAAAGAAAAAATAGCGTCCTAGGGGATAGCTTTTTCTTTGTTCCTCCACCGTTTTCCGTTTTATAGTTTGTCCTCCGTTCCTTTCCTTACAACCCAGGAAAACTAGCTAGTCTCTATGTAATCTGACTGAAATTTATGTGCTTGATTTCATTTGAAGGCACACTCCTTCGTGCGTTTATAGTGTAGTTCTGAACTAGGTTAATTCTAATCGTAGGCTATGTTTTGAAAAATATCGGACAGCTTTTGCGCCGGCACGAAAACCGCACCGGATAGGGTTTAGTTCACACAAAAGAGCAGTGATTTCGGCACGCCAATCTCTAAAGTGGAGAGTCACATATTGGACTAGTGAGTGGTCATACTTAACTGAATACTTTTTGCGTCGTCGCAAAAAGCTTCTCAGTATGGAGAGGAAATAGCCTTAATTTTGTTCCTGATCGCCATTATTCAATAAATAAAATGACGAGTCAAACTTTCTAGAGAGAGTGCAGTTAAACATTGGAAGAAGTCCCATTAAAATCGCATCCTTGGATAGCAAAAAGCATGATCTTTCCCTCAAAACTGTGAAATATTTCCTGTAAAAGCTGGAGGGAGGTAATGAAATGAAAAATCAAAGCTTATGTAGACTTCGCATTTTTAATTAAGTGAAACGACTGCCGCCAAAACTTGCTGCTATATACAGCTTATCTTTCGGTAATTAGATCTGAAAAAATCAGTGAATGTGATTAGTAATGATTTTTTTTAACTGAAGGCGAAATTAGAATACACATTTTCAAGAAAACTGCGTCCCGCCAGAAAAAAAATATGCCTAATAAATGTTTTCGGTTGATTCTTGAGGTCATTTGCCTTTTGTAACTATACAGTGTTTCATTGCCAAATTATTTGGTATACAATATTCTGCAATATAAATTTATTTGTGTTTCAGGACAAAAAAAATGGGTAGATTAATTACTTAACATCTACTAGAACTAACGCACTTACTCATTTGTTAGAGGAGACGTTTATAATCCAAATTCTCAAAGGATAAAACACTCAACTCTAGACGGCAAGCTTTTGGACAATTTCGCTGTCTTTACACAACTAAACAATACTTTCTTAATTATCAATGATTTTTGAAAAGTGGAGATCGGCTTGAATTGCAAATTAGCAGCTGGGAAAACATGTCGATCATGGCTCTTACGCCTCGGGGCAATCAAGCGCAAACCATTTGAGAGTTGAATTTAAAGGGACTTTCTTTCAGTGGACTTCTGCTCCAAAGATTATGCACGCATTTTTAAAAATTTAAGATTCTTGAGATTAACCTTCCTTTTATATGACCTTTTAGTTTCAAGATTATTGATATATTGTAAGGCAGTAAAATAAGGGCTACAATTCGCCAATATTTTGGCAGAAATTTTGTGTTTACAAGCGTGAGCCTCTCATTATTCAGGGTATTGTGTCCAAGTTTCATATTTTCGTGCGCAACAATAGCTAACATTTTTGCATATTTCAACTGCATTGTTAGTTACTACTGTTCACGTGAAAATGAAACTTGGAGACAATGCCTTGAATAATTAGAGGCTTTCACTTGTAATGACGAAACTTCCGATAAAAAAAGTAACAAATTGTAGCCCTTATTTCACTGCCTTACAACATATCAATAATCTTGAAACTAAAACGTCATATAAAAGAAAAGTTAATCTCAAGAATCTTAAATTTTAAAAAAAAAATCCATCGAGCGGTTTAAAAATTATTCGCTAATTTGTTAAAGTAGACCAAGATGTTTACAAAACCGCTAACAAGAGCGCTTCGATACATACTAATCAAACCCTTCTTTCTAGCAATCGGCTGGAGCTATCTCCCATGATCTATCACACACGCTTTTAAAAAGATTGGAACTACTATGAGGTAAAATTGCATGTCGAAAGCGCCTCATTTTCTACAGATAACGGCCAAACAACAATATTGTCCATTTTTTACTGTGTTTCTAACAATAAAAACTTTATCCCAAAATAGCTCGATAACGCTCTTACAGATTTCGCTTAAACTTCACGAACATCGAGGCTGCTATTGGAGGAAAAAGCTCCCGTGGATGACTTTCGAAGAACAGTTCCTAGTGCCGAGATATACTGCTGCAAGTAAAATAGCTAATAGTGTCATTTCGTTGCTATGACAACTCCGATGCCGTTGCAACCCTGATCATAACAAATTTTCATCTTTATCTAATACAACTGTGATGACAGTTTTTCCAAAACTTTCTATATGGCGACGTAGTTTATGCTCAAACTTGGGAGATATTGACCCTGAAAAACTGTATCAAGCCACCTTAAAACGTACCTGACATGAACATAATAATTGTAAGCATTCTTTGTAAATAGGACATTTTAGGATATATATTAAATTTCAATTTTTTGACGTTTTATTTTTTTGCTGAGGGCCATGCGTATATTATCAGTTGATATCAACTGAAACCCTCATTTAAGTATCTATCTTTATTATATACATACTGAGAAATACTCACCAAAAAGCTATGTCGTAAAGTTTCGTTCGCAAATTAGTTCTAGCCAATCAGAGGAGCGAACGATGGTTTTCACACTAAAATAATGATACGTCCAATCAGAATCGCGAACGATGTTTTTTCACTTATGAGAAAAATGATACGTCCAATCAGAAGCCACAGAGGTGTGTGAGTTTCGCGCCAAAATTCCCGCCTTTTGTTGCAGCTTGCAGCGTTGCTTCGCACACATTCAACGAGAAAAGTTTTACTCAAAGAGTTTTTCTCGCTAAAACAGTGAAAAACATTTCGGAAATGGAGTGGAATAGTTTCGTTTGTTTCACTGTCGGTAAAGAAAACGGTAGAGAGCCGGCGAAACAACAGCGGAAAGGGATAACCAAAACGAGACGTAAGCTTTTGTTGTGCTTTTTGTCGGATCTACTTTGCCTTTCATTTAAGCTTAAGCTTATATTCAAACCGGCCATTTTACTTAAATTCACTCATTTTCAATTGTGCATTGAGAACAAACAGTTAAGATTACTTAGAGTTCTTGGATTACCTCATATCCTCACCGTCATTTATGTTTTTAACAAACGTTTCTATTAAAAAGCTGATACTTCGTTTTCGTTGTCATTTTGCGGTAAGTGTGTAGCGGCAAATTTTAGCATTTTTGAAAGATTTAAAATAAAAAGTCCGCCAAAATGATGAATGTCTC